CTAAAAATAATCCAGCCACTCCCGTCCGTTGTGATTTCAGCAGCAGAATAGGAGCTTGTCGAATTCCAGGTCACTCCTGGGTGAGTTCTGGAAGCTTCCCGCCAGCATTCCCGGCGTAATTACAGGGCAACGCTCGGAATCTGCTTTTATCTGACTCGTTTGCTAAAAAGAGTTCTGCAAAATTGGTATGTACCAAACTCCTGGTTATTTTTACTCGAGTCTGAGCAGAATTATGGCGTTTTCCAGGATGAGCTATTAAAGGGTGATGCTGCAAAAAGAGCCCTTTGCTCTGCAACGCTTGCAATCGGTTATACAACTCCGGTTTTGCCTCTGTTGAACTGGGAATTCCTGCCTCCAAAAGCATTTTTTTTGCACAGGGAGAATGCCAGCAAAAGCAGAGGGAAAACTGAATCTGTGTTAAGGAGGGATAATGCCAGTACAGCAGCACTGGTGTTACTGGATCCAACTCCTGCCCATCCACTGAGGGCCTTACGGATGAATATTTTTTGTTCGTAAAAGAAAAAAACAGGAAATCCCAGGACAAAATAAGCACTTTTGTCTCAGAATTAACATTAGAGCTCATTTCCTGCCAACGCTGCAAGCTCTGAAGAGCAAAGAAACACACAAGCTTTGGAAACCCAACGATATGGATCTCTGGGCAGTGGACCAGCACAGAATTGTGGAATTACTGARGYTGGAAAAGCTCTCCAGGATCAGAGTGATGATCTGTGACTGATCCYCATCTTGTCAGCAACACCAGAGYACTAAGTCCAGCACTGAACAYCTCCAGGGATGGGAYTCYAMCATTTCCCTGGGCAGTTCCAATCATTTCCATAAAGAAATCCTCTCGATTTCCAACCTAAACCTCCCCTGGYACAGATTGAGGCCGTTTCCTCTTGTTCTGTGGGGGCAGAGCCTGATCCCACCTGGCTATACCCTCCTGTCAGGGAGTTRTGGAGATTGAGATGGTCCCATCTGAGCTTCTTTTTCCTTGTGTTCCAACCATTTCCCCAGCTCTAGACATGCTCCAGCCCCTCAATGAAACACCTGGAACCCTCCCCTTACCCTGCTCTGAAATCTGCCTCTGGAAAAGCCAAAACCCTGCTTTTTTAGAAGATTTTTCCAGGCTCACCGATGGCCTCGTGCTCTCCTTTGCGGCTGTGCAGGAAGCGGCGTTTTTTCTCTTTCAGAAGGTGCTGGAGCCGTTTGAACTGGTCGATGTAGAGGGACTGGAGGCGGATCAGCTTCTCCCGCATGATCAGAGCCACTTCTTCGGCTGTGTACACACCAGCATGCCTGGAAAACCCATGGGAGAGGAGCTGCTTGGGAGATTGATCCCGCAAAAAGGTGTGGGGTCTCCTCAGGGTTGATCCCTGAAGGGTGTGGGGGTCCCAGGGGTTTTCTCCCTGTGTGTAAAATGTACTCAGTGAGCCCAAAACATGTAACACATATGTAAAATATACCTCAGTGAGCCCAGAACGTCTAACATGTGTGTAAATGTACCTCAGTGAGCCCAGAACATGTTAACATGTGTGTAAAATGTACCTCAGTGAGCCCTTAACACTTGTGTAAAATGCACCTCAATGAATTCAGAGCATGTTAACACGTGTGCAAAATGCACCTCAGCAAGCCTAGAACATGTTAACACATGTGCAAAATGTACATCAGTGAGCCCAGAACATGTTAACACATGTGTAAAATGTACCTCAGTGAGCTCAGAATATATTAACATGTGTGTAAAACGTTCCTCAGTGAGCCCAGAACATGTATGTAGTATGAACCTCAGTAACACATGTGGCAGGCAGCAGCCACCGTGGAACCCCAGAATCTCTGAGGCTGGAAAAGCTCTCCAGGATCAAGTCCAGCCTGTGACTGACACCTTCAGAGGATCACACACAGTCATTCCCTGAATATCTCAGAGGGATGGGGTCTCCACCACCTTTCTGGATAGTTCCCTTTCCATGAAGAAATTCCTCCTGATGTTTAACCCAAACCTCCTTTGGCACAGCTTGAGGCCGTTTCCTCTTGTCCTGTTGTTCCCTGGGAGCAGAGCCCAACCCAAACCTGGCTGTCAAATCCAGAAAGTTCCTCCTGAGCTTTTTCTCCTGGCTGAGGATGTAAAATGGACTGAAATCCCCAACTTACTTAAGGGGATCCTCCTGGTCGCTGTCRATGCTGTCGGCCTCGCTGTCGGGGTCCCCACGCCACGTTTGCTCCACGGTGACAGGGTCCTGCTCGCCGTCACTCCAACTGTCCTCGTCTGCAAGACACAGTGATGGCACTCACAGGGCATTGTCACACACCCCAGCACGTCCAGGGACACCCTGGAGCTTGGCCCCAAGGAGCTGAGCTGACCCTGCCTCGTGCCAAGAGGGAATTCTCCACCCCGAAACTCTGAGTGAWGGACGTGGAGCAGGAAAGAGGAAACCTCCCAGCATGGCTACAACACACTGGGAGTGATGCTCCAGCCCTTCCCAGAATCACAAAATTCTGAGTTTAACATCCCCACTAACATTTCCATGCTAAACCTGCAGGATTTGGGTCTGGCAGCGTGATTTCTCTGCATCCAAGACCCACCAGGCCACACAAAACACCAGTTTTTACTCCCAACCCACAGGAYCTTTGTCCCGCTGAATATTCTTGGTTTTCCCCCAGAAAAACAGAGCAGCCCTTGGGTTCAATCCTTACCCAGGATGCGGCTGGCCTCGCTGCGGCTGCTCTCTGTGCTCTGTGAGCCCAGCTCTGCCCGGGCATAGGAGCTCAGCTGGCACAGGAGAGTCTCACCCACGGGRCCGGGGTTGGATTTCTTCACCTGAGCCTGGAGCGCCAGCGCGTTCCGACGRGCGTGCTCTGCGCAGAATGAGGTGCTGTGGGATAAAGAATGGTCTCATTACAACCCCAGCGCTAAGCCAGGAAAGGAATCATGGAATAATTCAGGAAGGAAGAATCTAAAAGCTGATCTGACCCCAGGTCCTGCTGCTGAAATCCCTCCTCCAACACCAAACTCCCAAAGCAGACCCCAGGTTTGCCTCCTGCTCAGCAACTTCGAGAGCACCCARACATTGAGRGRACACCTCRCTCCMATGGATCATGAYGGGTTGGATTTGGCTTTCCAATTAAGCACATTTAAATYTWAAATTTAAATTTAAAAKCTTAAAATTAAGGCTTTTAAATTAAGCRCATGGCTGAGGCTTGTAAGTGTGGTGGCTTAAATGCAGGACGCCAGAATAATCTGGGGATTAAAATCTTCATGTTTTCCTCATGGGAGAGAAAATTAGGGGGAGGGGGGGGAATCCTTTTTTTCAGAGGCCCCCTAAAGGGATTTAAATGAGCACAGCCATTCCCAAGGAGCAGCCACCAACCCTGCAACAGCTCCCACACCTTCTGCATTCCTGCATTTTCACAGAATTCGCATTTCACACAATCCCAGGATGCTYTGGATTGGGAGGGACTGTAAAGATCATTCAGTTCCACCCTCTGCCATGGGGAGGGACACCTTGCACTATCCCAGTGTCCATCTAACCTGTCCTGCTCCATCCCTCTGACCATCCTGGTGCCTCTCTGGACATGCTCCAACAGTTTTTCATGTGCTGGGGGCAGGGCTGAAGGCAGCTCTGGATTTGGGGTTTCACCTGAGCAGGGCATTAGGGCAGGAACAGCCCCTGGTACCCGGAATCTCTCACCCAGAGGTGGCAGCAGGTCCAGCTGGGAACCTTGGGAGCCCACCCAGCACTGACACCAGCAGCAGGGAAAGAAAATGGGTAAGTTTTTGAGCTCTTTTTCAAATATTCTCCCTGGACTCTGCCTTTCCCACATTTTATAACCCAGGAACCAACCCCATGTCCAGATCCCTGTAAATCCCTGGAAGTAACACTTCTGTGAGGAATCTGTGCTCTGTCAACGCCTCCATGATGATTTCATCCCCAGCATTTTAAAGGCCTCAGGGAAACAGCAGCACAAGCAGGTCAAAGCTCCACAGGGATCTGAGTGGCTGCTCTGGGGATTATCCACTGGCATGGGCAGAGGGAGGGACAGCACACACAGATCCAGTGTAGGGCTGGAGCACTGCAGCCACCTTCTGCTGAGCCAGGGCACAGCCCATGGTCCCAAAGTCACTCCAGGGAGTCTTTTTCCAGCTTAAAAACACTTTGCAAAAGGGAGATGATTCTCAGAGGTAACGCAAATGCAGCAGCTGGAGAGGAATCGTGGAATATTCTGACCAAATCCAGCTCCTGGCCTTACAAAAGACATCCCAAAATCCCATCATATTTCTGGGAGCATTATCCCAACGCTCCTTGAGCTCTGGAAGGGTTGAGAATGTGACCATTGCCCTGAGGAGGTGTTCAAGTGCTCAACTGGGGTAACAACCTTTTCCCAAATTCCAATATAAATCTCCCAACACATTTCCAGCCATTCCTTCAACAGGGAAGACAAAGACAAAAACCTCCCCCTGCCCATTTTAATTCCACASAGTTTGGAACTGGAAAAGCAGGAGCCACTCACCCATCCTTCTTCTCAGGTTTGGGAGCAGCGTTGGGACAACGCTTCCCGTTTTTTGTGGACACATAGCTGCACTGTTTGAAGGGAGCATTCCTGTCCTCGAGGATGTGCTTGATGCAGAATTCCTGCCCTTCCAGGCGGGGCTGGGAGCAGGGTCGAGGGGCGAAGGAGCAGGCCAGGGGCTCCTGTGGCCGTGGCACGGGGGTCAGGCGGCCTCGGCTGGTCGGCAACACGTGGATCCGGATCCTGTTCATGCTAGGGGAAGGATGCAGAGCAGGGAAAAGGAATGAAATAAAAYGCTGATAAAATGAAAAGCAGCGGCRGGAAATTAATTGGAATAAAYGTCTGACTCCTTYAGCAGAAAATGAGGAATTTCCARTTACGTTCCAGGGAAGTTTTAGCCCTGCAGAAATCTGCGTGGGATCCTCTTCTCCCAGTGAASCCCCACTGCCTCTCCTCGGTGCTCCCAGTGCTCATCGTTGCCTCTACTCTGATGTATCCTGGTCATTCTTCCTACCCCGCTACCGGTGTCCATCCCCACTTCCAACCCACTGCCTCCCCCTGCCCAACCCGTCTCAACCACAGTCTAACCCTTTTTTGCTGCTCATCCCAGTCTCTTCCCACCTCCATCCCGGTGTACCCCAGTGCCCATCCCGGTCTGTCCCACCTTCATTGCAGTGTATCGCGGTACCAACCTTGCTCTCTCCCCGGCTTTATCCCGGTGCCCGGCTTGATTTATCCCCGGCTTTATCCCGGTGCCCACTCTGCTCTATCCTGCGCGCCCTCCTGGTCTATCTCCACCTTTATCCCAGTACCAACCTTGGTCTACCCTGGTACCAACCTTGTTCTATCCCGGTGCCCACTCTGCTCTACCCCACCTTTATCCCGGTGCCCATCCTGGTCTATCCCCACCTTTATCCTGGTACCAACCTTGCTCTCTCCCCGGCTTTATCCCGGTGCCCAGCTTGATTTATCCCCGGCTTTATCCCGATGCCCACTCTGCTCTATCCTGTGCGCCCTACACCTTTATCCCGGTACCAACCTTGTTCTATCCCGGTGCCCACTCTGCTCTACCCCACCTTTATCCCGGTGTCCAGCCTGATCTATGCCCGGCTTTATCCCGGTGCCCATCCTGGTTTATCTCCACTTTTATCCCGGTACCAACCTTGGTCTATCCCGGTGCCCACTGTGCCCTATCCCCGCCTTTATCCCGGTGCCCATGTGCTCTATCCCCGCCTTTATCCTGGTGCCCACTGTGCTCTATCCCGGCGCCCAGCCTGGTCTATCCCCGCCTTTATCCCGGTGCCCATCCTGGTCTATCTCCACTTTTATCCCGGTGCCCACTGTGCTCTATCCCTGCCTTCATCCCGGTGCCCACTGTGCTCTATCCCTGCCTTCATCCCGGTGCCCACTGTGCTCTATCCCGATGCCCACTGTGCTCTATCCCGGTGCCCATTCTGGTCCATCCCCAGCTTTATCCCGGTGCCCATCCTGGTCTATCTCCACCTTTATCCTATGCCCACTCTGCTCCATCCCGGTGCCCATCCTGATCTGTCCCCGGCTTTATCCTATGCCCACTCTGCTCTATCTCGGTGCCCACTGTGCCCTCTCCCCGCCTTTATCCCGGTGCCCACTCTGCTTTATCCCTG